GGGGGCGGGGGCTCAGCAGGGGGCGCTCCCCCCGGCAGTCAGGGCTGGCCCCAGGGTGGCGCTATGGGGCGCTGTGCTGGGGGGCGGGGGCTCAGCAGGGGGCGCTCCCCCCGGCAGTCAGGGCTGGCCCCAGGGTGGCGCTATGGGGCGCTGTGCTGGGGGGCGGGGGCTCAGCAGGGGGCGCTCTCTCTAGCAGTCAGGGCTGGCCCCAGGGCGGCGCTAGGGGGCGCTAGTCATGCCGAATGCCCCGTGGCCCCCCCCCCGCTCGCGGGGGAGGGGATGCCCATCACACTGCACCAAACCAGGGGCTGCTCCAGCCGAGTGGCTTTATTGAATCACACACGGCACAGGGGGGTCAGTGGGGGGGTGCTTGGGGGTCCCAGTGCGGAGGGGAAGCTCTGGGGCAGCCGCTCGAGGCAGCAGGGAGCGCGAGAGGCCCAGGCCGGGGGCACGACTCACCCACTGCCTACGGGGGGGGGGAGCAGGAGGAGGAGACGGGGGGATGCTTTCCCCCTAAGCGGGGGAGGGGAGAGCCCCGGGGGGGGGGATCTGGGACACGGCCTGAGGGGTCGCTGTGGGGCAGCCCCCCATCCTCCATGACCGGCTCAGGCCCCTGGCCAGGCCTTGGGGCAGCCCTGACCTTCACACTGCCCCCCACCCCTCGAGGGGCAGGAGCTCCGTGGGGCTGGGGCTGCCGGCCCACGGCGGGGGTAGAGGCGGCCGTGGGGGATTGCTGGGATCGGGGCGGGCTGGCAGGGCCTAGGGCGCCCAGCCGCCAGCTCTAGGGGGCACGGCTTTGAGGGGAGGGCCCTGGGCTGGAGCCAGCTGGGCCTTTAACCCCCCAGCCCTGGCCCTGCCTGGCGGGGGGCTGAGCTCCGAGCCCCCTAGGGCTCCCCCCGGCCCGGCCGGCTACAGCTTCCCCTCCTTCTTCTTGGGGCGGCTGCGGCGCTTGGTCTTGGCTTCAATGATCTGCTGGGACTGGCGCTTGAGCGCGGCCCGCGTCACCACGTCGCCCTCGTCCCCGCTGGCTTCCTCGTCTGGGGGCAGAGACGGGGGGGGCGGGCTGGGGGGGGGCA